TGAAGGAGTCTGAACATGGCAAAGGTTTGACAATCGAAAAAGATGAGAATAAAAAAGGTAAAAATATATAAATAAATATATAAACAAATATATAAATAAATACTTTTAGAAATATTTATTTTACACAATTGGTTTATTATTTAAGCATTTTAATTTCAGTGCGTAGCCGGCGTAGCTCTGAATCACAACAAGGTAGTTTTTTCAAAATCAAAACTAGAAATTTTGCACAAAATAACGAAAATATTAAATTATTTAAATTATACATTTTCGTAGCTGAGACTTGAAATAAATACTTAAACTTTCCGACATATTTGTTAAAATTGTTTCAAATACAAACTTAAATATTAACATTCAACACTGTCTGAAATATTTATATTTCAAATTTTAAGTTTGAATTGTACGTTAAATGAAATAATAAAAATTTCATTTTTTTACTGTATATGATTTTTAATCTTTATAGATGTAAAGTAAGACTCATATTTACTGAAAGGGATCGTTATCAGATTTTGATTTTCGCAAACTTGTCTAGAATGCAATTTTCAAAAAGAATTTGCATCTGAGATTATTGTGAAGCCTTCAAAAAGCCGAAAATCTTTAAACTGGCCTCAAAACGAGGCCCATCAGTACTCATAACACTGTAGAATATGAAGACGACATTTAAGATTTTAACTATTGTATATTTGTTGTTGTCATTAATAAACATAATTTTACTTGAAGTTTAAAATTGAACTTATTAATTGAAATGGGTCTGAGTGCACTGCATAATTGCTGTACTCCCTGTTGATTGATTTATTTAAAAAGTCTAAATATCGCCCTGTTGGTCCTACTGTACAATTAATTGCATGTATATGTACTGTACTGTCCCATGTCTAGGTGGTAAAGGAGGTGTCCCTGAAGTACTTGATGAGAAGGATAAAGTAAAACGTGGCATGATGAGCAGCACAAGGAAGGTAGATAAATAGTCGAAATACACGGAGTAGAAAAAACGGAGTGGGACTTGAAACTCGTTGGGTAGATACACATGGAGTGGGAATACTTGAAACCCTTGGAGTAGATAAACGTAGAGAGAAAATGCTTAAAATTCGTGGAGTAGATAGACATGGAGAGGGAAAAATTAACATCCACGGAGCAAATACACATGGAGAGGAAATACTTGAAATTAGAAGAGTAGATTAACATGAAGAGGGAATGTATAAAATCCGTGGAGAAGACAAACATAGAGAGAAAATGCTTAAAATTCGTGGAGTAGATAGACATGGAGAGGAAAAAATTAACATCCACGGAGCAGATACACATGGAGAGGAAATACTTGAAATCAGAAGAGTAGATAAACGGCACTGCTTAGTAGACACTAGACACTTTACAGAAATATGATAGTTAACAAACCATGAGGAAGAATATTCGAGTAACATGGAGCAAAGGGTTTATCGCAGTTTAGGAATTATGATTTGATAAGATTAGCAGGAAGTAAAAACATTATTTAATTAGAAATAACATTTTCCAAATAAAGAACGTTTTCTGCAGAGAAAATGTTTGGGTAACGTGATATGGCAGACAGGTTAGGTTTCCAGGTCCCACTCCATGTCTATCTACTCCATGCTCTCCTGTTATCAGAAGAAGAAGAACTTCTCGTTGAGGAACACCAATCACACACATCTTACTTAGGTTTTGATACTGGCGCAGAGGGGAGACTGGCCGGCCTGCGATCAAGCTCTCAAAGGATTTAATCACGCAATATTTTTCTGTCAACCACTAAAAGTTGTATTTTGCTATGAAAATGTAATTTTGACATCTGTAAAAGTCTGAAGAAGGGGGGATATATTTTCCCTGAAAACTGGGGTAAAATTCCCCCCCTTGAACCATAATACAGTAACTGTCAGAAGTCCACTAGATATGAGAATCCAAACCCTCAGACCTGACAAATATCTGACAAAAAAAGACACAAAAAACAGGAAAAAAATAATTACTCAGTAGAAAATCATTCCATCAAAATGAAAAATTCGGAAAAACAATAATTGTGCTACAAAACAAAACTAATCTAAAACCCATTAACTGATGTTTTTAATGTTTATTTTTTAAACTAGCATAACATTTGCTAAGAAAGAAAACTTAAACAAAAGTTAACCTAACCTCATAAATAGAATAAAATGTGATGTCTTGAATTAAGTAAAATGTTCATTGAAAATTCAAAAACTTAATCTTATCCCATTTCCATTAATTTTATGATAAAGGAACAATCAAATACTGATTTACACTTTATATCAAACAATCAAAAAGATATATAATTATTATAAATCAATTTTCACTTTTGTCAAAACCAGACAGTTTTATTTAATAATAGATCACCACTGAAGCATTGACCGTATCCTTGGAAAACTTGTAAATATTGTTTTCCATCTGCAGGACGATGTGCATGAAAAAGTTGCAAATTATGAAGAAAATCTGCGAAGGAAAATGTTCGGTTGCGGGAGTCTTGCAGGCAATAAATGAATGCATTAGTGTAATTATAATCAAAGCTTTGTTCAGTTGGTTAACCCGAAACAAAGTTTATGGTTCTAAAAATAGCAAACAATATTTCAGAAAACTCCATTTTAGAGTCAGATTTTGATAATTTGCACTAGAATGATTAGGTTCCATGAATATTAAATGCCGCGTAAAAACACAAATTTGAAAATGCTCATGAATTGACATGTTGGTCAGGGTCAAAAACTGGACTGGGTACATCGTCTTCCACCAGTTCCTCCTTCGCTAGCCTACATGGGACTGCAGAGGAACCCTGCAGGGGAAAAGGATGCAAAAAACTTCGGAGAGTATTTTCAAAAAGTTAAATTTGTGTTATTTCGATGTTATTTATAAATTTGGTACAATATTTTTTAATCAGATAAAAAAGATAATTTGAAAGTAATACAGAAGAGAGTCTACAGTTTTTCCAAGTTCATATGAAGACGAAATATCCGTAAGTTTTTGCGTAAAGTGTTTTCTTGTACAATCGTTTACGCATTACGCAACATATTTAATTGCGAAATGTGTTTTTCCATTTATGTGCGTGATCAAAGTAGGCTGCAAGGATTGTTTCCAAGCAGATTTTTTTTGCATGCTTTATTATTTATATTTGCACTCGACATTCCTAGACCTTGACCAAGATTTGACAAACTAAACCAGACCTATATAGTTTAGAGAGATGTTTTTACTAACAAACTATATTGGTTGAGAACAAAAATATTTTGATTTTTAAATAATTTAGGGAGAAGAAGATTTAGAGGAACTTCCTACTTCAGCGATTGTAAATATTATCATATTATTATAATAATAATGATTATTATTATTAAGTCGTATGTCGCAATTTTCTCAATTTGTATGACCGCTAAGTTATTCGGTATGAGACGTCTTTAACAGTTTTCTCCTTATAGACGCAACAGATAGAAGTAAGATTAGTAGCGATCAAAAGCGCTTTTTTATCGCATTAAGCCTATACCCCCTTTCATTTTTCGCGAACACTCCCTTTAAT